CTTTTCTGTTGACGATTTCCATCATCTTCAAGTGGTTGAAGTTGACCTTTAACTGTCATATACAAAACTTGAGGTTTATTTGGTAATATTTTATGACGATTAAGATCTGTTGTTGATGTTAGATTATCATAAGAAAATGAATTAGTTATTTCTGGTTTAACCTTAAATAATTTATAATAAAATATTTACTTTGATAGAAAGAAAAGAAATTTTTACCAATCTTCCAGATGATGTTCGAAAATAGATTGCTTCTTGAATTACATCATAATCAATTGCTGATGAATCATATGCTAGAGCAAGTTCAGTTGTTGACGGTTCTGTTGCATTAATACCAATCGTCTTTGTTTCTACTTTAGGTGTTTTTGGAGGTGGAGTAATTTGTTGTGGTTTTTCCGGAGTCGGTGTAGATTTTTGTTTTTCTTTTAATTCTTTATTTTGATGATCTTTACATCGACACCAATCATAAACAATATGATTAGCTTCAAGTCGTGTAACATGATGACGACATCCACATGTGTCTTTTTTTGATTGATCTAATGCCATAATTTCCCAATGATTTAATTTTGGTTTATCATGTGTATGATTAGTACGAGGTTTTCTTTTTTTCTTACGTTTTTTCTTTTTAATTGGTTGTACAGTTTGTTCAATTGTTGTTGATTCGTTTTCATTAACAAAGAAATCATTTAAATCTTCTAAATTTTCAACAATTACATGATCGTTTGTGCTAATTTTTAATGATTTTTCTTTTTGTTTTTCTTGTTTAGCTTGCAGTTTCTTTTCATAATTTATTTGTGATCGTCCCATAAAGTTACCATTAAAACCACGAATACCACTATCTGTAGTATTAGGATGATAATTATCTTCATTACTATCATTATCACTATTATTATAATTATCATCATCATCGTCATCGTCGTCGTCATCTTCAGAACCGAGAGTTGTCAAATGTTCTGATACAGCACTGATAGCATTATCTATTAATTCAATAAAACTTAGATCGTGTTTCTGTTCGGTTCATCTCATCCTAATTGTTGGTTTCATATAGAACTTCAATGAAATCGAATAAATTCGAGACGAGCAATGATATTTATCAGAAACCTTGACAGTTTTCAAATTCTATAATATAATAAATCGAAGAAACGCAAAAGGAAAAAGGAAACTCGATAAGCAAATTGACAACAATTGTATCTATTAAATGAGGAAAATAAAATTTGCTTACAACGGAACTGCACGAGGTAATAGTTTCGCGTTTGAGATAAGACTTCAATCATTACGTAGGACCTGTTGAGATCATAAGAAATATGCAAGAGAACAAATGACTGTTTTTTGGTGAAATTTTTAGAAGATTCGAATCACTTTATTGTAGTCCCTAATTTGATGGTCTGTTTTTTTTAAATACTGAGCCAAAAATAAAGAAACCAGTGTAATGGCTATAACTCCAAAAGACTAGCACATAGGGAAGAATTTTTCTAGGTTTCGTCTAGTCTCAACAGACCCTATGTAATGACTGGAATTTCATCTCAAACATAACAAATAATTATTGTATTATATTTTTTAAAAAGTTATATTTCATACCATATGGCTGTTTTAATATTGTAAGATTTTGTTGTTGAACAACATTTGCCGGTGGTGGACCAAATGATGGCGGTTTCTTCTTATTTTCCAGACGATTGACCTAGATTTTAAACGAGAAAATCTTCATAGAAAATACTATTTTCTATTTTAAACAATATACTTGTTTAATAAGCATATCAGCCAATGATTCGGGTAAAACTGCTGGAGCAAGAAATCTTGTTGGTATTCCTTTAGTTGGTTCGATTTTGATTCTTATATAAATATTTATTTACTTGTTTTTAAAAATTTCTCTGATAAATCCAGATTTATCTTACCTAACAAAACTAACTCTATTTTGATATCCATCATCTCTTTCATATGCTTTATAATGATCTTCATCTGTTTCTTGTTTATAAAATTGATGATTTGGATGTTCTTCACGTTCATGTTGTAATGCTGTTATATGATTTTTACATAAATTTAAATGTTTTGGATCATAACAACATGAATGATATTTATGTAATTGAAAATATTTAACATTTTTTATTTCAGGAAAATAAGATTGTAATAATTTTCGTGCTTCTTTTTTAGTTAAATTCTTTTTTTGTCCTAATTCTTCTATTTGTGTTCGTGTTAATAATGGTGGATGACGTCGTGCTACACGACGTTCTTGTTGCATACCAATCGGTTTTATATAAACATTTGCTTGACGACACATAAAACATTCTTTTTTAGGATCACGATGTTCTTCATGATCTTTTTCATTAAATAACAGTGATGAGAAATCATTACGAGATATTCTATTTACTGATATAGTTCGAAGTCTTGGTAATCTTTCAGTTGACTAAGAAAAATATTTAAATCGATTTTAAAACATATATAAAACTTACTAGCATTCTATAGAATATATTATCAGTAACTGATTTCGTACATTAATGTTGACGATTGATTAAAAACAAAAAGAATGCAAAAAAAAAACATAAGCATACACTCAACAAAAGAAAATTAATGCGTTAAGTTTTTTTTAAATATATGCGATCAACTGATGAAGCAAACTTATTGTTTACTTTTTGTTATTAACAAAAGAAAAAAAATTCATATTGTACATTTTCTTTTTTCAACGCATTCTATCAGATGGTAGTTAAGAAAAATAAAACAATTGCAAAGTGCAAAATGTTATAATATTCATCGATGTTTAACTTTTCTTTTTTTAATATTTTTGAAGCACTTGCAATGTTGATCTGGCATTTTCAATTTTGTAAAAAAATATTTTACCGATTTACGAATCATATGTCTTAAAACAAGTTTCAAGTTGTCTTCCATATTGAATGTAGAAAAATATTTGCGTGTGTTTCTGCTTAGGTTTTGTTTTTGAAATTTTAATAAGTTATTATAAATAGACACATATTAGTGTTCTGTGAATGATATAAAAATAAATGCCGGAAGTGTGCATTTGAAATGTTGACAATTAAGATTAGTCATTGTCGATGGAGCGTTATCTGAAAGTAGGAAATAATCGATGTGAAAAGAAATAAAAGGATTATCAATCTATCAATAAGTGATTAATGATAGATGATCTTATCTTGAATTCGAACTTTTATTTTATTGGTTTTTGTTTTTCAATTTAAGAATAAATTTATTTTAAGTATGTAGAATCCTATATTGTGATATCTGGTTGAAAATTAATGGTTCTTTTGCTTAACTTTCTTTTCTATTGCGCTGCATGAATATTTTTTGAACCTACAGAAAAATGTTACATTTAAGTCGAAACTGCATCATTAGCTAGTTGTGAGCACGTTCGAGGTATTTGTATCCGTTACATAGACTGTTGTTGCTGAGTTTTCTCGAGTTTGATTAATTATTAAAGACGTCGCAATAAAAATAGTTCTTATACTAAATAGATTTTAACCTTTAGAAAAAAGTAGAGTGCCGTCTAACATAATATACTGTAGCATGTTACAATTGACTTTTTTCAGAAGCGATTGATGTCTTCAAAACAGATAATATTAATTCAATAGCAAAATTAAAACGACTTCAATAAAAAAAAAAGGTTTAAAAACAGACGCCGTAGGATTCATCTGCTGTATAAGAAGTTTATTACTTTTGGGTATATATGTTCAATTGACATAAGTAACAACACTTTTCGTTATTGTATAGCCACCAAATGATATGATTTTTGTTATTTGAACTCAAATTCATCAATAAACTTTTTGCAGTAGACATCTAAAGAACATGAACAAACACAAAATGAAAAACCAATTTACGATGAAGTTTGAGATCGTTAAGTTGGCTTAACAAATATCAATAATTCCTAAATAATAACAACCGAATAGGAATCAATTGTAAATATGCTGTGTTTTTGTTATGACAGCAAAACATTCAACCATTTATAATTTTCTTGTATACACATTTTGATCATATTATTTATATTTAACGTGATGCGTCTGACAAGTTAAAATTAGTTCATTTACATTTATGTTCAAAAACTTGCTCTTTCTTTTTCTCTTTGTTGAGAATTTCTATGAATACATTTTATAAGAAATTCAAATGAGTGGATTTTCACAAATTGTTGAATGTATTGTGAATAAAAGTTTATAAAGAAAAATGTATTAGAAGTTTAAATATTCAAATGTTCTTTATGTCGAAGTCATTCATCATTTTTTATTCAAGATCTTGATGGCAATATTTCAGAATACTCATCAACCTTGTGTAATGCAAGAACTAGAATAAAATATGATTCATTAAGACAAGAATAGAGACATTATTTACACATACATATGTACGATCAAATGTATGTAAATAAAATCCAAGGACTACATTGATTTTCTTTAGCGCAATATAACATTTTAAAAAATCATGAAAAATATTTCGAACAAACACAACTTTATCTTTTTAAAAAACAAGCAACAATGATCATATAAGAAAAAAACATTTGATAATTTTTGTACCTAAAATGATCAAACATAGAATGGGCATTGTAATAAGTATGTCGTTTTTTTTCTTCTTTTATTTTATAGCACTATATGAATAGAAACAACGGAAATGCAACGTATTTTATTTTATGGTGAATGGAAAGTAAAAACCTATAAAACACTTGAACCGAGAATGAAATGAGGACAAAAAAATAATGTATCATACATCTATGTTGAGCCCCTACTCGAGTTGAAGTTAAGTGTTGAGTAGGATGACATATGTGAGCAACGTAGATAACAAAAATTCGAGCCATCTATAAACTATTTTCATCACTCATATTGTATAAATAAATTGCAAATATAAAAAGAGAAAGAGGCTTATAAATATTCGCTGTTTGCCTATTTTTTTTTTCTTTCTATGTTTCTTCTTTTTTTTTTCTCACTATCACTTCAATAAAACATTCTAATAAAAAGTGAACCATTCTAGTAGTTTACTCGGCATATTCTTTATTTTTATAACCTAGTTTCCAAACAATGAATACGAAAGAGATTTATCGCTTATGTAAGTTTTTTGTTCATTGCTGTTTTTTTTTTGTATTCATATAATTGAATTTTATTTTCCTTTTTCAAATAGCAACAATTACTGTATACATTACAATTGTTTTCATACTTGTTCATTGCACATCAAGTCAACCATTATCGACTAGTTCACAAAAAGATGATGATATTGTTGATAATTCGATACAGACTGGGCCTTCATCGGATGCGGAATCAAATGATCTTGATATTAAAAATGATGACTCTATACCTGAACTTTACTTATTACATAGCGACTATAATCTTATGAAACAACCGAAATCTTTAGAGGCATCTCGTCGAGCAAACTTTTGGAGACGAGCTAATTTTTGGCGTAAACGTGCTAATTTTTGGCGATAAAATATAATTCCATAAAGAAAACAAAATGCTATGTATCATTGTCAAGTCTTTGAATAAAACTAAATAAAACATCGCCGCTTATTTTTACATGTTTAAAAGAAAGCATATAATCTTTAAAGTATATTCATTATTTAATAAAAAAACAAAATATGTATTACAGTTCTAATGAGAATATAGAGAAAATTTCATAATATTTTTACATAATAAATGTTTGTTTTCGTAGATGTTGATAGACAAATGATAATTGCCATATATAAATATATATAATTATAAATAGTTGATGAAAAAGAAATGAAATACTAATTGATAATAAACCCTATTAAAATCCTGTAATTATGTTGATGATCATTTTCAAAAATATATAATAACATGCAACTCGAGATAAAAACACTAACAACAGAAGCTATTCGCAGATAACTCTTTAGAAAATTAATGTAAATAATAAGAACTGATGTCAACGCCAGAATCAAGGACGGATGACTGTAATCAGACATGCAGAATCTAACCGTGTGCGTCCACATGCGTGGTGGAAAATGAGAGGAAAAGTTTTCCTTGGCGGAAATGGAAACACAAAATTCGTACACAAGTTATTTGATTTATTTGCCACTCATAATTTAAAGTGCTATGAAAACTTCGAAAAGGTCAAGTTTTCCAAAAAACCGTAGCTCTCTTTCTTGTTTCTATCAAAAGATATTTGCAATTAAAAACTGCACGATGATTTTTGAACTGTCATCTACATATGTTCAAAATAAAGCAATTTCTTTTATTTTGGTTGCAAGGAAAATTTTTGAAGGATTCTCTTTTTTTTGTTGTTGGAAGGAATTTGTCATTTTAGTGGTAGATTCTGTATCTTTGGGTGTAACGTTAATAACTCGACTGCAGCAATAGTTAACAACTAACAGTTTTCAGCAATCAAAAGAGATGATCATATCTCAGTGTCGAGCAAACAAAATTGTGTGTCTATTCAGTCAAATTATATCGGTTTATGGGAATGGCTTCAGAAAATATTCATTTTCATTTTTGCATTCAGCGTTTTATATATCTCCAAGAAGAAATATTACTTTATAGTCGTTCATATATGTTAGGTTTCTCAAAAATGAATAGGTGATATTAGAAAAAGAAGAGTAATTTATTCATCAACGGATTGCTAAACTCTAAATCTTAAATTTTTTCACTCACGAGGGAACCACCCGAGGTGTCAAAAAGCTTTTCAGTCGGGGATATGATGGTTAGATAGGGCATAGCTAGGAGTGATATACCCTAAGTTAGTTCGTGCCCAAGTTGCCTCTAGCCGGAGTTCTGAAAGGTGAAA